GTTAGTAAATCTAATAAATTTCTATATTTTTTTAACTGTTATAGATAGCTCTTATTTTTAGATTATATAAATTTTTTCTAGATTTATACTTATTTTCTGTCTAGCTTTAATAATAAATTTAAAATATTTTATTTTCTTCTACTTAAATTTATATTTATTAATATCTAGATATAATTTAGTATTTTATAACTTGATTAGAACTCTTTAAATTTATTTTTAATATTATTATAAGATTTTAATTAAAAAAATAAATATATTATCTAAATAAATAGAGTAGAATTTATTTAAGTATTTTTATAAAATCTAGTTAATATATTTTTAAAAGATATTAAAAATATTTATAAACTTAAATAAAATAATTAATTATTTATAAAATCTATATTAAATACAGAAAGCCGTCATCTATTCTTATTCTTTAATAATATATATTTTATAGAATATTATAGAAATATTAAGCTTGGTAAACTACTATACTTTTTTAATCTAATTTAATATTTTATAAATTAAAAAAAAAATATTAATTCTTTTTTATAATAATATTTAATCTATAATAATTAATATAAAAATAAAAATCTTTTTTTAATTTCTAGATAAAAAGTATAGAAGTCATAGCTAATAAGTTATTTATTTAAATAAATCTCTTATTTAATAATTCTATAAGTTTTTTTTTTAAATATAATAAATTCTTTCTAGAATATATTATATAAGAATCTCTATAAAAATTAAAATATTTTTTTATTTTTTTTTTTTAATTTAATAAAGTAGTTGATATCAGATTTATAATATAAAAATAAAATTTTTATATTTCTTAGTTTAAATAAATTTAAGAATTATTAATACTGTTCTAACAGCTTATTTTTTAGATTTAATTTAAATTTAATATATAAAGTCTTTTTTATATTCTTTAAAAATATAGTAAATATTTTTATTCTTAATTTTAGTATTCTTCTCTTTTTTTTAATTTATATTTAAAAGGCGGCAGCTGATATCTAGATAAAAATATATTTAAATTATAATATTTATATTATCTTAATCCAGGTCTGGATTATCTGAAAATAAATTTAATTTTAATTTAATTTAATCTTTCTATTATAATACTCCAGCTAAAGAAGATTTAAGATAATATTATATTTTAAATTATAATTAAATATATATATATATAATTTAGATTTAGTATATACTCTGATATCTAAATATATTTAAATAATATAATTAATAATTTTTCTTTCTCTAATTCCAGATACTGAAATTAGGGTGATAAAAATTAGATTTAATTTATTTTTTTTTATATATTTTAAATTAATAATATTATAAATAAAATATTTAATATTAATTATAACACAGGCATTAGTTACTTAGTTAATAATAATTTTTAAAAGTAATAGTTTAAAAGTTTATATACTTCTTTTTAAAAGTCTTTTATTAAAAATAATTCTTTTTATTTAAAGACTTTTATCTATAATTTTATATAAAAGTTATTTTTTTTCTAGTTCTTATTTTATTTATTATTTATAATTTTTTTTATTAAGTATTTTTTATGCTCTGTAATAGCTGCTTAAACTAGAAATTAAAATATAGATTTTTAATAATAATCTTAGATTAAATATCTGTTTTTTTTATACTAGAAACAGAGATTTATTTTTTTTTATTATAATTTTCTAGTTAAAATTTATTTAATAGAATAAGAATTATATTAGTTCAGACTCTTAAATTAAATTATATATTTCTATCTTTTATTATTTATTATTAAAATAATATATTTTTAATTTATAATATTTTTTATATTATTTATTAAAATTATATAAAAATTATAAATCTGTATATATAACTAGTAGTTTTAATATTTTTCTTTAAGTATTATTTATTTTATATTATTACTGTATTATTTAAATTAATTATAATATTTTTTATAAAAGATACTTTTCTCCAGGCTAATAATAGCTTATAATAATATATAATTAATTAAATTTTTTAATATTATAATTTTAAAAATATTTTTTTATATTGCGTTACCTACCTAGATTAAAATAATATTAAAATTTTTTAAAAATTTTTTAAAGCTCTTATTACCCTGTCAGAAAAAATATAGTTTTTCTAAAATTTTTATTTTTTAATTTTTATTTTTATAAATTTTATTTAATTTTTTTATTATTCTATTATAGATAGCCGTGCTATTTATATTTTAATATTATAATAAAAATTTTTTTTTATATTTTTTTTTAATTATCTAAATATATAAGCCACCTGGGATATATTATTTAAATATATAATTAAATTTATAAGAAATTTAAATTATAGATATATTTTAAATCTAAAATAATTTTTCTTATTCTATCTGTTAAAAAATTTAACTTTTAAATATATAAATTTTAATTATAGAACTATATATTAAAAAAAAAGAGTAATAATATTATAAAAAATATTATTTATAATTTAAATATTAATAATATTTTATAATTTTATAATATATTAATTCAGCTGTTCATGTTTATTCTATTAAATTTATTAATAATAATTTTATTAATTTATTATCTATTATTTAATTTTCTTTAGTCTATTAATAAGGTCGGTGAGGAATTATAATTATATTATATTATTTATTATTTTTTTATTTTATTTTATTCTATTTTATTATATTTTATTAGCTATATAGTTGGATTCTATACTGTGGGTTTATCTAGAAAACTATTTCTAATATTAAAGATTATTTTTTAGTTCTAAGAATACATCACTTATTAGATAAAAATAAATAGCTGCTATTTAGAACAGGGCCTCAGAGTTCTTAAGATTTTATATATTATATTTAGTCAGCAGGCAACAACGAGGCTGGTTAGCTGAGTCCTCTAGTAGGGGACTTGTCCTGTAACAGCGATGGGGTAGTAACGAAAAGGGCCCTTAGTATTAGATAGGTCTCTGGAACAGACCTGTCAGTGGAATATGCACAACTTAGTTTACAGCTATATGAAGCCCAAGCCAAGAAAGGAAAGGTCCACTGAGGACAAATACCTATATACTATTTAAAAACTCTGTTTTACTTGCCCAGATCATCTATTTCAACGATAGGATCTTCTTTTCTTGACTGTCAGCTGTTATTCAGAGTATATAAATATTAGTTAATGTGGCAAGCAACATAGCAGACTATTATCAAAGGTCCTCATATAAACATAGAAATCTGAGTTTAGCTAAAATATGAAATAGCTTGTGGCACTCCTTATATAAAGTTAATGATACATAAAATAACATATCATGGCCAGCGTATGCCCGGAGTAATTAACTCCTAGAGCGTAGCCTAAGATCTTAAATATAGCGCAATGAAATTTTGGAGCAGTAGATCATTCTTGGCGATTTTGAAGGTAATAGAGTTCTTGTTGGCCCAGTGCAGGATACAGTCTGCTCCCTTTCTGTGTTCAGATATGCCTTAGCTGCAGGGAACCAACAACGGAACACAATTGCGCTATTCGTCCTAGTTCTTTTCATGGACCGACCAGTGTAGCTGAATGCAAATTCGAGCTACAGTGTTGCACAGTAGAACCAAAAACTCTTGTTGAACCCAAGTAGTAGACATATTGATTGAAATATATTTTCCAGGCCTGCTTACCTCATGAAGTTTTCGTCCCGTACTGTTACATAATCCTATGTATATTAGTAGATATGGTATACATAACTGACTAGTTAGTTAGTTATGAAAGGCTGGCTTTAGTCAGCAAGGAACTCATAAGGCCTGTGCAGGCTCCTTCGCAGGAGACGATTTATTATAGTCAAATAACGAGGAACTCCTTTTTGTAGCATTAAAAAGGTTTGAAAAAGAAGGGCATACTACTACATAGAAAGAAATAATGAGGTATAGTGTTAAATACACCTTATTCTACGGGATTTTGACAAGCGCAAAGCTGCAAGGGTATGGTGGAATTTACCTTCTTTCAAAGACATTTGGAGGCACTTATCATCAATATATACTCAAACCCAATTCGAATTAAAACCAAGGTGTGGGGAGCTTGGTCTGATAATACTGCGATGAGCGCGCGGTGATAATACCTCTTATCTCTTATTCATTTTTCAAAACAGGAAACAGCTGCGCAACCGAGGTATACAGTTTCGGGAAGGTGAGCCGAGAGAGGCTCATAACCTAGTAGGTAGTACTTTGCATGTGATAAGAGGCCAATCACCCAAGATTCTCAAAAACCTTTTTGATCCGCGGAGTTTGCGTGGCGCCATCCCCTGTTATGCTTACTTTGTACAAGGTTGCAGCGGATGTGGAGTAAAGGATTGTAAGTGCGGCACCATATGCGCTGTCAGCGTGGGGTCCAAACGGAACCCTGGAGTCGAGTCCTGACTACTTCGTAGTATTGTCTTAACTGAATTTCTCCGATTCCGGCTATCCTCAGAGAGCCCTCTTACAGCAGAGCAATTAATTAAATTTAATTCAAATTAAGCGGTCGCACTATATGGCGCCTTTCCTGTGCCAAGAGAGTCCTCCACTCTATTAGTGCTTAGTACATTTTAGTAAGGACATCAATCAATGAGGGAATTATTTGTGCCCTCGCTGCTTTTTGGAGCGGGAAGTGGGGCCGGAAGAAAATAAAGAAATAAGGAGAAAAAAAGAAAAAGAAAAAAAAAGAAAAAAAAGAAAGAAAGAGGAAAGAAAAAGAAAAAGAAAAGTAAGAAAAAGAAACAAAAAACGAAATGGAAAAATGCAAAGGGAGAGGAAAACAACTTACTAGATACGTCTACTTACAGTAAGACTACTGCTGATCCGGCGCTAAACAGTTACAACTTTGCTCGCCTGTAACGAGCGAGTAAAGAGACTGAAGGGGTAAAAGGCTAACACAAGCAAACATTTTACATAAGCAAAAGCAAACAAAACGAATAGAATTTGTGGTAACGCTTGACCTAAACCGTGGAAGCCAGGCTTTGATACAACATAATTCCAAAATGGTAGATTGGGACATGCCCGCCTGGATTGCAATAGTGAATTTGAGCCATTGGATCTTCCCCATCACTCAACATAAATCTGGGCTCGACAATTTGTGGTCACCGCTGACGAGACCGACAGTAGAATGATTGTTGATGTGCACTTCATTTAGTGCAAGTTCATCATCAAGCTGTTCGAAATCCCGAGTAAGGTTGCCTTTCACTTTTCCGTTGAGCTTTCGACTCGATCTGCTACTATAAACACCACCGCTGTTGGAACTACCTTTCGCGCCATGGAGTGTGCCACTATTGAGTGTTAGCTTAAAGCTTTCGAGATAAAAATCAAGATTCCTTGTCAAGCAGTCAAGTGGTCAGGAGGTGTACGTACGACCCAAACAGCTCGTTGATAGCAGGTTTTATTGTGGGTAAACACGCGTTTACAACCCCAAGGTTTGGTTCCAATACCGAGTAAATGGCACCGGGTGTAACGCTGTAGGTCATGTCAGCTAGATTCCAAGTCCACAACCAAACGACCCTCAACAGCGAAATAACACAAATCCTGGCAAGTGTGATCATAGTAAGCAACCTGCTCTGCAAGCGACAAAGAAACAAAGGAGGAAGAGTATACTTACAACGCCCCGAGGCTAAACATTGCAGAGACGGCAATCTTTTTGGATAAAATCAGTTGTAAGTTGAAAACCAGAGGCATCGGTAGAACAACAATGAAAGTGTCAATAGTGAGATTGACAATGCCAGCAACGAGGTAGGCAATATTTTCACCAGTGCAATGTCCTTCAATCGATTTATCCCAGTTATATTGGACCGGTTTGCAAAGCGCGAAGGCTTCGATCAGTACCATGGTGAAATACGCGGCAGTGATGAACAGTGTGCCATAGCACAAACGGCAAAAGACCTTATTTGGAAAGAGGTCGATGTAGAGGTACAATATTGAAGCCTTGACACACGAGTTCGCCGCTGCCCACAGCAGTTGTGCAGGCACGAAAAGCTAAAGCAATGGCGAAGGAAAATCAGTCAATATTGTACCGTACAGGGTAGGACATTTACTAATATTCATCAACTTACCTTCATGTGTAGAGCAAACTTTTGAGGCGCCGTTGCTAAAAGCTCCTCTAAATGAACTCCCAAGCCAGCAGCAAAGCCAGCTAGATTGTGTGTGAGTTCAAAATGCTGTCTCTCCATTTCGAGGGGACCCAGAGTTGGAGAATCATACCTGCCAGAAACACGGACAAAGCAGATTCAGCCAGTACCAATGCTACCAGTGCCAAGTAATCGTTTGCAGCGAGCTTCCTTCCTTGTAGATATCTGGACCACAGTCTGAGCGCCACAGCGATGATAGCCATGGGGCCCACGATGAATGAGATCACGGCTAGCTGCACGGCTCCTAATGGGAGAGTCATTTTGGGAGAAAATGATATATCAGATACAGTCACTGTTTTAGAAGGAAGAAAAGATCGAGTTTCAATGATGTTGTGTCTTAAGGACTCTGAAATATGACGTGACTTCCAGTCTTAAGAGACCGAGTACCAGGGAGCTGTAAATAAGAGAGAGTCTGGAGAGTTGTGGGGGCCATATGCGCAATAGTCACAGATAATTCTCACGCTTGACAAGGATCAATTCTGCCTTGTGCAGCCTACAAGACAAGCCCACCAAGAGCACCGATCTAGGTACGTGGTACGTGTACACATGGGGATTTAAGGGGGCTGAGTTAGGAGTGCACTTCGCACTTGCCCTCACACTTCTTCTCTTTTCATCTTCTCCCCCTTCTTCTCCTCTCGATCTTACATCAAGCTCGAGAAGCAAACATCACCTGCTGTTACAACAACAATGAGTGGCCCACACACATCACCCACAGTCCCATTGTATTCTGAAGGTCTCCGGGACTGGCCGAACCGGCCGCCCCACCGCCGGCCGCGCACGGGTGCTTAGAGCCTTAAGAGTCTAAGCGCTTAGACACTAGGGATGGTGGATTGTAATTACAATTTCATGTAATACACCCATTTTTGGTCAAATTTCATGTAATGGGTTTGGCTGTTGTAAGGATTAAATCATACTAAATTTATATAGACTTAGCACCATGATTTAGCTAAAATTATAGGTAAGCAGGTAGATAAGCAGGTAGATAAGCAGGTATATTAACCAGTTAGCTAAATAATATGGTAGAAGTTACTAAGTATATACACAGGCAGGTAAGGCAGATAAAGTCTAATTTATTAAAAAATACCTTTAAATTATATAGATGCTAGTTTTCTCTTAAAATTAGTTTAAATAAACTAATCTTAAGCAAAATCATTAAAATTTATATATTCTTATATATATAGCAGTGTTTTCAATGTTTAAAAGATTAATATATATATATTTATAATACAAAATAATAAGAAATCTCTGATTTTCTTAGATTACTAAGGAATCAGGATCCTGATAATTTAATTAATTAAATTAGTTAAAATTAATAATATAATTAGTCAGTTATAGTATTCACTAAAATCATATAATAAATTGAAATTGTAATAGTTCAACTGAGTGAAATTACAGAATTACTGTAATGGCTTCCCAAAAATGAAATTACACCATCCCTATTAGACACAACTAAGTGTGATGGGCTAAGAAGCCGGGAGGACTACGTAAAGTACAGTAATTAGTAGAGAAGTTGAATTTATTAAAGAAAGAATTATCTAATCTATAAATAGATTAGTTTTTCTTATAAATAACTCTTTTAAAAGTTTTTCTTTGTAACTCCGGTAAATTCTTTTATTTATTCTAGAAATTTTTATTTTTCTTATAGATATCTTTGGGTCAAGATCCAGAACCAGATAGATTAAAATATAGATATTCTGATTCCAGATAACTGATAGAATTTAGTCTTTTTTAATTATTATTCTCCCCATTATGACGCAGCTGAGCTGATATAAATTTCTTTAAATAAGATAAGTAGATAGGATTATACTAGTATTTATAGACTTTAATATTATAAAACTCAGTTACTAATTTCTATATAGATTTAGTATATTCTTTTTATTTAATTAAAAATATTTTTTTATAATTATATTTTTTTTAGGGCATATTTTTCTTATTTATAATTTTTTTAATAATATATTTCTTAGTGCTGTCTTCCATGATAATAATATCTAATTATTAATTAATTACTTTTTGGATAGGTAGAGGATCTGTAATAATAGATTAAAATAAATTAATATAAAATACTAGATAAATTCCAGATAATATATCTAGTCTATATATATATATTCTAATTTATTCCAGTATTATAAATTTTATATTTCACTAGTCCAATTTCTTATTAAATTAGTTAGTTATAATATTTTTCAGATTTAACCAGATTTTATTATTTTTTTTATAGCAGGGAGCAAGATTTTATTATTAATTAATATATTATTTCTGTATTTCTTATACTGCTGTTATTATTAAATTAATAATATCTCAGATTTTTTAAAATTTACTGAGAATAACTTTAACCTGCTTTCAAAAATTCCTGGCCTGATTATATTTTAGAGAATTTATTTCAATACTTAAATCTAAGAATTTTATATAAAAGCCATACTATAAAAAAAAAAAACTTATTTTTATTAATATAGAGTTCTAGTTATTTAGAATTAGTTATATCAGAAGCAGTAATTCTTACTAATTAATTTATTATTAATTTATAAAGTATTATAGAAAGATCTTAATAATTATAATTTAGTACTTTGTTGCTCCATCTATTTCAGAATAATAAATAATAGAAAAATATTATTTAATATCTAGTACTTTATATAAGATTATTTATAATTTACTTATAAACTAAGAGCCGCAATCTAAAACTACTGACTAAAGTATCTTATAATAACTGTAAAATATTTAAATAAATATATTTATAAAATTTTTTATATCTATACTCGGGATAATTTTAATAATAATATCTTTAATTAACCAGTTAATAATAATTATAATATTTTTATAATCTTAAGACTCTAGAAGATTTACCAGAAAATTAATAGTAATATCTTACTAAGATTAATCAGAAATTAATAATAATTTTAAAAAATTTTATTTATAATTTTTTTAAATATAATTAATCTTATAGCTGTTATAGTTACAGCAGAACTAATAAATATTTTTATTTATATTTAGCCAGTAATAGTAGTAAATAATTATTTTATAAGTCTAGTCTTATCCGGGGTATCCAATAATTATATTATTATAAATTTCTTAAATAATCTAAGTTTATAAGAACTCTAAATTAAAGATCTAGACTTATTCTTAAAAAAATAAATATTGGCTCATATCCAGCTAGTATTTTATAATAGAGATTTTTAATTTTAATTATTTAAAGAGCTCGGGCCTGTCTTTAATTATTATTTTATAATATTTTTTTAAATTCTTATTAGCCTGTTCTGCTTGCTTCTATAAATTATTTAATATTAATTTTTTAGATTTTAGACTGGCAGGAATTTCTTTATTAAAGATTTTATTAATAAATATTATATAAATAAGTTCTTCTTCAGGTACAAGATAAAATAACTAGATCTCTTAATTTATAATATATTTATTTTTCTTCTTGGGCATGTCCTGGAATCTTTAAGATAAAATATTTAATTAAGTATTTATTATTTTTAGATAATAATTAATTATAAAATTAAAATAATTTAAGAACTAGGCCTAATATATTTATTACTTTATAAATTGCTGTTAGATCATAAAATATTCTAGATTTTAATAGTTACTGAAAATTTTAAAATAAGAAAATATAATAAACTCTAGTTTTTATTTTTACAGGATTTAGATAATTACTAGTAATTTTTTATTATAAATTTAGTAGTTATATTCTACAGGCAGGTTTTTCTTTAAAAAGTATATTACTAAATAAAAAATTTTTTAATTATTTTACTAGAATAGTACTCCTCCTATATACTATTTAGAAAAATTGATTTTTATTAGTATTTCTTATTCAGAATCTTAATATATAAAAATAAAAACAGTAGTAAAGATTTTTTTAAGAATTTTAAATATTTTTTAGATCTCTGGTATCCAGCTGAATTTAATATTTTTTTTAATAAATTATATTAAAGATTTTAAGTAGGTCTTCCAGTCTTTGAGAAATTATTAATAAAAATTAGTAAATCTTAAAAAAACTTTAATATTATAGATGGTCTTCAGTATTTTCTAATTTTATATAATTTAAATCTTAACAGGATCTATACAGATTCCTTTCTTTATTTTAATAATAAATTTTAGGTATTTCATAGTAGTTATCTTAAATTTATATTTATTAATATTTACTTAGAGATCTGTATCTTATAAGTATTCTAATATTTATTATATCTAGGTATAGTATATAGTTAGATTTTTATTTATAAAGATAAGAATATTATTAATATAGATAAAGCAGAATTTATTAAGGAATTTTTATAAGGTTCAGTTAATATATTATTAGAATATATTTAGATAATTAATAAGCCTAAACAGGACTACCAGTTATTTAAATAATTTAAAATAAGTATAAAATATAGTTTTTTATTTATCTTTTTTTTTAATCCGGATGTAGTAGAAGATTTAAATAATATTTAATTTAATATAGTAACAGATCTTTGAAATATATTAGAGAATTTCTTAAATAAATAATAAGAAATATTAGTTCTTTATAATTATTTAGTTAAGTATTCAGTAGTTTATGTAAAAATATAGATTATTATTAAATTTTAAAGTAAATAACATAGATATGGCTGCTGGAAAGTTACTAATTTTTATAAATCTTTTTTTTAAGAAGTTAATCAGGATCTTCCATAGTACTAAAAGTTCTAGTTAATTTATCTAGTAGAAAAGGTTCTAAAAGATCTTCTTTTTTTTTTTTTTAATATTTTTAATTATTTTAATAGCATGGTCTATCCCCGGGTAATAAAATAGTAGAATATCTGCTATTATTTTATTAAAAATATTTAAGTATTTATAATAAAGATCTGGTAGCTTGCTTTCTACTTTTATAGAATTTTTTAATTAATTAAGTTTATAAAAGACTTTATTAATATCTGTCAGGCTTATTATAAATAATTTTATTAAATTTTTTTTTTTTTTTTAATTTTTTTAAGTACACCACGCATTGACAGAGATTATAAATAATATTAAGAAATAATTTTATTTTTATCTATATTATACTTCCACTCCTGTACTCTAGATATTAAGTATAGAATCCTTAATTTAAAATATTATGTTTTAGTACTTTATTTATAAGAATTTTAATATAATATTATATTTATATATATATAGTAGAATATAAAAATATATATATTTCTACAGATTTTTATTTATATTTAATAATATTTTTATTAATTTAATTATACAAGCTTTCTTTTTTTTGAATTCTTTAATATTTCAGGATTTAATAAAAATATATTTTAGTTTATTT